TGAGAAGCTATATTCAAGGCACTTTTATCGATAAAAGAAGATTCAGAATATGGGCTGAAGTGCATATATATGAAAAAGAATATGTATGTATTGCACACAACTATGAAAGTATAAACAATTTATTACTTTTTCCAATCACTGATGTATCCAATATAATATATAAGTGTGAATTATCATTTTAATAAAATGAAGGAAACCTACTATCAAATGCATTGACAGCTACTGAATTTGTTGACACATTTTTAGACAGTCACCCAACATTATCGATTCCATCATGCCATAATATAATATGCAAATTGATAAAATTTTTTGTTATAGCACGAATTAATTTTTCGTTAATAAAAAATTATATTAGCGATACAAATGCAAATAATAGTCGCAGAGTCGCTATTATGTCGCAGAGTCGAAATTATGTGTTACAAATGTTAAATGTTATACAAATAAAAAAAAGTGATAAACGTTATTTATTGTTTTCCTTTACGCAATATATTCATACAAATATGGACGTTTTGAATCAATTGCGTGTGACTGTAATAAACATGGCGGATGATTGCGGTACTTTATACAAGATGTCCCGAAGTCCCATGATGACCCTTGGTGAGAACGTAGAACGGATTGAGGTGAGCAAGAAAGTCCTGTGCCGTTTTGCGATATTCGCCATAGTTTTTGAGAAATTAATTATTTTGCCTCAACAAATTAGCGGAAAGAGGCAGCGGAAAGAAAGATGCCTTCGGCCGACGTGCAACCGTGATGGCTCCTGCACATAGGACGCGGTAATGCTTGCCGCACGGCGAAAGTCCGCGCGACAGCCAATCAATATGTTGTTTTTCTGTAAGAGCTAGAAGGTTATTACGGAAAGCAGCATATTGATTGGCTGTCGCGCGAACTTCTGCCGCGCGGCAAGCATTAAGGGACGTCTACATTGGAAGTAAGTAGGAAGTAAGAGTAAGAAATTGACCAACCATAGTCGAATGTGAGAAGAATAATCAACTATGATTGGTCAATTTTTTATTCTTACTTCCTACTTCTTACTGCTTACTTCCAATGTAGACGTCCCTTTAAGCTGGTGGCACATTGAAAAACTTAAGCAGTAAGAGGTAAGCAGTAAGCGAATCAGCCAATCACAGTCGTTGATTCTTGGACCGTAAGAAGATTCAACGACTGTGATTGGTCAATTTGCTTACTGCTTATGTCTTACTGCTTAAGTTTTTCTATGTGCCGCGGTCCTTACCGCGTCATATGTGCAGAAGCCACTACAGGCTTCGTTTCAAAATTTTACTCGGTGGGTAGAATATATTTAATTGACCAATCGTGCTAAAGAAATCCTAGTTATCTTTGTTCTTATTGGTCAATTAAATGCTACTCTACCCGTCGAGTAGTTTGGAACGAAGCCACAGAGTCTCTAGTTGTTGCATCCTGTGCACATGCAGCTGTAATAGTCGCATGTTTTATATCTTTTAGTTCGTGGACTGGAGCAATTCGCGGCATCGCGGTTTGTACGGGTGTTGCGTGCAGTTTGGTTATAAACAGTATTTTATGGAAAATCGCCTAGACGTTTTAACATCCAGAACATAAAGAAGAAGAAGAAGGTTTGATTATAAATCTGTATAAATCCCGCCATTTCCATGCTTGTAATCTCTTCCAGTTGTTGGTAGTCACATTTGTGTAGCGATCTCTACCAGTAGTGCGTAAATTGTAAGCAACTCGAGTATAGAAGCATGCAATAAAGCCGGAATCAGACTACGCATTGGAGATTGAGGATTGCGGATTGAAGATTGCTATTTAACCAATTGGAGCAAAGCAAGTCAAAACCGAAGTTTGTTAATTCGTCGAAATCGAATCTTCAATCCGCAATTCTCAATCTCCAATGCGTAGTCTGATTCCGGTTTTAGGCTGAATCTATTTTTGCGACTTTAGGGAATATTTCACTTCATTACCATTCACGCCACAGGTACTAATTAGAATTTCACATTGGACATATTTTTTAGCCGTGTGCCTGACTTCGTGTTGAACCATGGCAAACGTATCCCTTGACAAAGATACGTTTTTTCGGCGCATGAAGCGCCTGTATGCTGCGTGGAAGGTAGGCAAAGAATAGTTAAACATTGCAATATTTATTATTTTAATCAATTTCAAAGACAAATCTACACACACACACACACACACACACACATATATATATATATATATATATATATATATATATTTCACTTGTATTCTTTTGTTTACAATAGGATGGAGAAGTGGGCACTGATGATAGTTTCAGTAAAATGGATTGCCTTGTTTCCGCTGTTGGTACTGATGAGAATATTGTTTACAGCAAGTCCACAGCATTGCAGGTCTGTATTTCAGATTTGTATGATTTGTGAATTTTGTGAGTTAACTGTGCATTATATATTAATAGATCTTGTACCTTATTAATTAACAAACATTATGAAATCCTGTGTAATATATGGTTGGTCTGTTTCAGACATGGCTACTCAGTTATGAGCTTACGGATACAATAATGATTTTGGCAGAAGAGTCTATCAGTTTTTTGGCTAGTAAAAAGAAAATTGAATTTTTGAGGAAAGTAGAAAATCAAAAAACTGAGGATACAGAAGTACCACCTGTAAAATTGTTTGTGAGGGACAGAGTAAGTACATTGTATAATTTATCAATGAAATTATATAACTATGAATATCAGTGATAGAAAAGTGTTTGAGAAAAATATTTGAATATTTTCTTAAAGAGCGACGAGGACAAAGCAAATTTTGCAAAACTTATCGAAGTAATAAAAGAAAGTAAAAAAGGCAAAACTTTGGGAATATTTTCAAGGGAAAATTATCCAGGTGCCTTTATGGATGCATGGAGAATTGCTTTAAAGGCAGAATCTTTTGATACAGTGAGTATAGAATATTATATTTTATAGATAAACAATAGATGAATACTCACAAATTTAAAAGTCAACATAAATCTTTATAAAATACTAATCATTTAGGTCGATGTAAGTGCTGCAGCTGCTTATGTCATGTGTCCAAAAGAAGATGCTGAAATACTTACTATAAAGAAAGCTTGTCTGGTGTCTGTGGATGTCTTCACTAAATATCTCAAGGATCAAATAATGGAGATCATAGATTCAGATAAGGTACTCTCTTTAATTTTACATCTGGTATATAATTATATATTTTTTTAAGAAAGAAAAAAATATGAAGAGAAAGAGCGTAAGAGCACTTTATTTATATAAATTTCAGAAAGTTAAGCATTCAAAATTAGCGAAAGGTGTCGATGCAGCGATTACAAATAAGAAGTATGTATCCGGAGTAGATATTACACAAGTGGATATGTGTTACCCTGCAATTATACAAAGCGGTGGCAATTACACACTCAAGTTCAGCGTTGTTAGCGATAAAAACACTCTTCATTTTGGTGTCATCGTTTGTTCACTGGGCGCGCGTTACAAATCCTATTGTTCAAACATAGTGAGAACTTTGTTGGTTAATCCCACAAAAACGATTGAGGTACATAGAAAGTAAGAATAGTAATTTCATAATGCATAAACTCTTGTATTACCGATCGCAAAATCGCGGAATATATTCTTATATTATGTTTGTTATATAGGAACATTACAATTTTCTGTTACAACTTGAAGAGGAGATCTTGAAGAAGCTAGTTGCAGGAACAAAGATAAGCGAGGTGTACGATACTGGTATGAAATACGTGAAAGATGAAAAGCCAGAAATGATGAATCATTTAACAAAAAATTTTGGATTTGCCATGGGAATCGAATTCAAAGAAAGTTCGTTGCTATTGGGCCCGAAGACTCATGCGATAGCTAAGAAGGGCATGGTGTTTAATGTCAATGTCGGTCTCGCAAACCTCTCTAATCCGGATGCAACAGACAAAGAGGGAAAGACGTACGCTCTTTTCATAGGCGACACTGTTATCGTAAATGAAGGACAACCGGCCACCAATTTAACACCGTCGAAAAAGAAAGTGAAAAACATAGGCATATATGTAAAGGACGATGAAGATGAAGAAGAAGAGGGAAGTGGGAAAGAAAATGAGCCAAAGCCCGAGATTCTGGGACGTGGTAAGAGAACAGCCGTGATAGAATCTAAACTAAGAACGGAGCACAGCTCGGAAGAAAAAAGAAAGCAGCATCAAAAGGAGTTAGCTCAGCAATTGAATGCAGTTGCCAAAGCTCGGTTGGCGCAACAGTCTGGCGGTAAGGAACAAGAGAAGATACGTAAGTCGACAGTGTCGTACAAAAGCTTGAGCCATATGCCGCGTGAATCAGAGGTAAAGGAGTTGAAGTTGTATGTGGATAAGAAGTACGAAACTGTGATTCTACCTATTTTTGGCATCCCTGTACCCTTCCACATATCAACGATCAAAAACATCTCGCAGTCGGTAGAAGGAGATTACACGTATCTTAGAATCAACTTTTTCCACCCTGGAGCTACGATGGGTCGTAACGAAGGTGGATCTTATCCTCAGCCTGACGCAACCTTTGTTAAAGAAGTAACATATCGAAGCACAAATACCAAAGAGCCCGGTGAAATTTCCGCGCCGTCCTCGAACTTGAACACAGCCTTTAGGCTGATTAAGGAAGTGCAAAAGAAATTCAAGAATCGAGAAGCGGAAGAAAGAGAGAAGGAAGATCTAGTGAAACAGGATACTCTGATATTGTCGCAGAATAAGGGAAATCCTAAGTTGAAGGACTTATACATTCGGCCGAATATCGTAACAAAAAGGATGACTGGTGGCTTAGAAGCACACGCGAACGGATTCCGTTATACATCAGTCCGCGGAGATAAAGTGGATATTCTTTATAACAACATTAAGAATGCCTTTTTCCAACCATGCGATGGTGAAATGATTATATTGCTTCATTTTCATCTAAAAGTACGTATACTGAATTACCGTAATTACCGTGAATAATCTAATTGTATTTTAATTAAAAAAGTATTATCCACATTGTTATTGCAAAATCAACATACATTTATTAACAATACGATATTCGATATGCAAAGACTTAGATTTCTTTTGGTTTTCAGCATGCCATTATGTTTGGGAAAAAGAAACACGTGGACGTGCAGTTTTATACAGAAGTCGGAGAAATTACCACGGATTTAGGAAAACATCAACACATGCATGATCGCGACGATCTCGCTGCCGAGCAATCGGAACGAGAGTTGAGGCATAAATTGAAAACTGCTTTCAAAAGCTTCTGTGAAAAGGTATGTACGATGTTGAATAACTTACTAATTGCTGACTTTATTTATGTTTAATGCACAATGACTAATATAACTGTTACATAAAGGTTGAAGGTATGACGAAGCAAGATATCGAATTTGACACACCATTCCGAGAATTGGGATTTCCTGGTGCACCGTACAGAAGTACTGTTCTGCTTCAACCAACTAGCGGTTGTTTAGTTAATCTCACTGAATGGGTAACGCATTTTAATAAACTGTATAAATTTTTTCTACGTAAAGCATACGTTACACGCTACATGTTACACTGAATTTCAGCCTCCGTTTGTTATTACGTTGGAAGATGTCGAATTGGTCCATTTTGAAAGAGTACAATTCCATCTCAAGAATTTCGACATGATCTTTGTCTTCAAAGATTATCACAAAAAGGTAGCGATGGTTAACGCCATTCCCATGAACATGCTGGATCATGTCAAAGAATGGTTGAAGTAAGTAATATTATTACTTGATATACAAAGTTCAAGATCTTTTATATAATATAGCAAACAACATCTTTGCAATTGTTAAATTTATTGCTTCTTCTTTAGCTCGTGCGATATTCGTTACTCGGAAGGTGTCCAGTCTCTAAACTGGACGAAGATTATGAAGACTATAACAGATGATCCCGAGGGATTCTTCGATAGCGGAGGTTGGACATTTTTAGACCCCGAAAGTGATGCTGAAAATGAAGAAGTTGAAGATGAAGAAGAGGAGGAGGATGATGCATATGAGGTTTGTACATGTAGAATGATTTTTGAAAACACACGCGCAAGAGCGATAGATATGTACTATGAATAATTACTTAAAAAAAGAACTTACCTTTCTTTTTGTAGCCATCTGATTTCGATACTGAAGAAGAATCAGATGACGATAGCGAATACTCCGAAGCTTCTGAAGATTCTGACAGTGAAGGTACTGTCTATAAATTCTTATTATATTAATACATTATATAGTTTTTCATTTTACTCTTCGATTCATGTTCCTAAATTTTCTTTTATATGTTTTAGAAGAAGAATTAGGTAGTTCTGAAGAAGAGGGAAAAGACTGGTCAGATCTGGAACGGGAAGCGGCTGAGGAGGACAAAGAAAGAGGCGAGGATCGTTTCCGCGACGATTATAATTCCAGTAAAAAGAAGAAATCAAATCGAAGGCAATCCCCATCTCCTTCGAAAGATAGGTACATGCACATAAATACGTATTTAACATTAAACTTTTCGAATACAGTATTTATATTAAAGGGAAATCATAAGTTTTTTCACAATCATATTATTAAATGCAATTTTATGTATGTATGTATGTATGTATGTATGTATATATATGTATGTATGTATGTATGTATGTATGTGTATTTTTTTATTTTTATATATTAAATATTTATTTCGCATTACAGGAATAACTCGAAACACAAAAACTCTTCCAACTCGAAGAGTAAGAGTTCATCCGGCAACAAGGATAAACGGTCGGATAAACACAGGTAAATAAGATTTGTTGTATTTTCAAAGTAACAGGGATTCCGATGTACCGTATATTCTATTTCGTCGAACTGTATATTGAGTGTTCTGCTTTGATAATTAAAGAACTGATCGATCGCGGAGTGGGGGCTCGCACAAGAAAGCGTCTCCTTCCAAATCATCCAAACACAGGTGATTTACTCACGAATTTTGTGTCTTTAATGTTACTACAATTAATATTTGTCTGTTTAGTCCAAGAAAGAGCGACAAACACGATAAGAGCAAGTCGCATTCTTCGTCCAGTAAGAAACGTTCTCGTGAGGAGAGCTCGGAAAGGAACAACAGAGGATCTAAGAGATCCAGGTAAGTTAAAACTGTCTTTCGATCTGTCTTGAGTGATTTATAATTGTTCGAGTTGTTCTTGGCCGCAAATTTATTTGCTCGAATTTTCACAGGAAATGAGCACGAGAAATCTGCACATTTGAAAAGGACTACACAGGAAACCACAACAAATACCGTGCTAAGTGAAGCTTTCTTACTTAAGACATAGCGATTAACTAGCTCATAAGAACAGTACATTTTCTTGCATCGGGCAAATAAACAGTTTGAGCATATTGTGGACGTGCGCATTCAGTTTTTATTTGTTTTTTTTTTTTTAGAATACAGTAAGTTTTACCTATAATAAAAATGATATACAATTAACATCTCGCTACTATCTTTGTGTGAGCTTTCGTGTGTATATAAGAATAAAATTGGTAAATATCGACTTTAGAGGAGACAGCTCCAATGAGCTTGATCTTGACATATGTTGTCAAGGTCATCATCTTGAGTAACACACAAAAGGTTTTAGCCATCGCTCGTTGTTTATTAAAAAATTATTAATAAAAGAAATTGAAAAATATAGCAGGTATATAGTATATATGGGATATATAGTATATATTATAATACTATATAGTACATATATATGCGCGGGGGAGGGGTTTCTCCCCCCCCAAATCTTAACCCTAAACTAACCCATTTTTTCGGAAAAAACATACAAAAAGAGGATAGAATATATAGTATATATACGGTAAGTGTCCAGATAGCATATCTTCTAGGAACGTCCCAGCTGTTAGAGTATTTAGATTTCATATAGAGATCGTGCGTGCCATGCACACACACAGGCACGCACGCACGATCTCTAGGTTAGGCGACAGTTTCCCGAAAAGTGGAGGGGATAATGTTGGTACCAAGAGAAATCTCTACACGATATAATTTAAAGATTTGTTTTTTGTAACTGCACTGCTGAACTAATGCAAAAAGTTAGAATGAAAAAAACATATACTTGCCTCACTTTAATTTATTGCACTAATTCAGCAGTACAGTTACAAAGAACAGAATCTTTAAATTATATCGTATAGAGATTTTCCTTAATACCAACATTATTCCCTCCACTTTTTGGGAAACGTCGCCTAACCGATCTCTATATGAGATATATAAGTACTCTAACAGGCTGGGACGTTCCCAGGAGATATTGTGCTATCTGGGCACTTATCGTATATATACTATATATTCTATCTTCTTTTGTTTATAATTTTTTAATAAATAACGAGTGACGACTAAAATCTTTTGCATGTTACTCAGGACGATGATCTTGACAACATATGTCAAGATCAAGATCATTGGAGCTATTCCAATTATAAATATCAAAGTTGATATTAATCATAAAATTTTGTATGAAGTCGAATACGTAGGAATGCACTAGTATTGCATTTTAGTTATATTTAGTCTATTTCGAAAAAATATTTTGGAGATATTACTCCTTTTTTTTCCTTCTTCTTTGCTTTAGTTTTGCGTTTTACACATTATTGTAGTCTTCTAAGTATGCGTCTCATTCCATTTCTTATCAGATAAGAACTGCGTTATAAATCCATTCTAATAAGTTCCCGACGACACATACAACATATAAAGACAATGGATTAAGATAAGCAGTAATGAAAGAAACTCTCGCTGACCGGAATTGTTTTAAAAAATGTGTTAAATTCGGGTAGCGAGGAGTAACTATACCAGATATTTCTAATAGCGATTAGGTATTATACGAATGGTAATAAAAAGGAAAAACATGCAAGACAATGTACTAAAGATAAATATGATTTACTGTGCTGTAAGTCCTGATAAAAAACTAGATGCTTATTGAGATCTGAAGTCTTTGTGTATATCAAAATTATTTTGGAGAACAACACCTCTTGTACGACTATTTTTTTCGGTTTTATTACTCGAGGATGCGAGGATACATTCGCAATTCTCGTTGCCCTGTGTGTTACAGATCAAATGAAAAAGAATATTGATTTGCGAAGTGAAGACAGGCGAAATTAACCGGAAATTATTCAAACACAGTTTTGTTTGCGTAGTCTCAGATTTGTACCTTACGATCATAAAATGAACCGTTTTTAAGTTATTTATCATTAATGTACAAATATCACACTTTTGTGGTTTTGATATTCTAAAATGTATGTAATGTGTGTTGATACATGAAAGTGACTGTTTTTATTAAACGCCCCATTTACTCGTGAAAAGAGTTACCTCTGTTATTGAGAGAGATAATAACTATAATAAAAAGAGAGAGAGAGAGAGAGAGAAAACAACGTAAAAATGTTCCAAATACATACATGAGAAATTGCGGAAAAAGTAAAACAGAAAGCGTCGACATTATCGAGGCACCTATTTTTACGAACGATAAATCTTTGTAACAGGAATAACGCGGAATAATTCAAAATGTACGCTAAAACGTTATGTCACGTTTTCGCCGATAGATTTACCGTGCGGACGCGCGAAAGGTGGTACATGAAAAGAAAGTGAAAGTCGTACAAAAATCACGATCTTCCGTTCGGTATTATGGATACATGTATTACGTATAACGAGACAATAAAATTAGCGAAGCGGTTAATAACCGAAAAACACGATCCTGTAATCATCGCACCTCGACGCATGCATCGAAATTCCTGACGCAGAATCGTGTCAGTCGTGCGATAAATGGCAGCACCGAGAAGAGTTGTCGTTCAGGCTGAATAGAGGAAGAAGTGAAAGTATGCTTCTTCAACGAGCGGTCCTGCAACTTTCTCTACTAGCGGCATACATAATTCAAACTAAAAGTATCCTCACGAGAATACGTGACTAATTTTATAATTTATGAATTATGCGCGGCGTATCTCGAGGTATGGCGAATTCAATGCAAAATATACGAATCGGAATAATATACGGCCACCGTATAGTATACATAGTAACAACACTTAATGACTAAGTGTCATTGATCGATACATTTTATCCTGGACCCATCAAAGATCTAAAAATATACTCTACAGACAATGATCATCAAGTGCTAAATAATTGTGTTATTAAACATTGGCTTCTGAGAAACACGTGTAAAATCTAACATGTAACATGTAAAAAAGAAAAAAAAGATTCCTCGGTGTACTTCTTTAGAATCTATATACGCACTGATGTACGACACTGATGTAAATACGGCACTTTCTGTTCGCGAATGGTGTGCAATCGGTAGATGATACACACGTGGGCTGCTCTTTTACTCACGTTTATTTACGAAAAGTGGAAAGTCATTCTACATCGAGAAACTTTGAAAAGGTACAATAAGCGCAAGGTGCAAAGTACGAAGGGAACGTTCGTTCATAAATATTTCTATCGATAGATAGTCGCAAGGAGCTCGGAGTATGATTATTTTTACACGACGATGACGATGACGACGATGACGACGACGCCGACGATTGTACAGTAAGGACGGCTCAGTTTCGACCGATCTGATCGATCTGGCTCTGTAGATTGTTCACCACTTCTGGTGGCACGTGCTCGCCCAGGATCTCGAAGAGATTGATCCTCTGGTCGCCGGGGATCGATTCGTAGGCGGCGAGTTCGATGCCTTCTTGGACCTTCTGTATAGTTGCGTCCTTGGGGATCAGGTAGGTGTTCTGAGCCTGCCGTATCGCCTCGTTACTGAAGATCTGCCCGTCCTTCTGCGGATACGCCGAGACAATACCCGCCACGAGCAACGCGCCCAGTGCTATCGCGTGAAGCCGCATCTGCGCGCGAAAAAAGAAGGAAAGTTCGGTGTGGCATTCGTGAGATCGTACGACGACGATTCGAGTAACACGGTGCTGTAGCTTCGAGGATCTCGAGTCTCTTTATCGTATTGATAACGTGTGAATTTGATTATTTATAATAAGCACGAACAAGTGAGTTCTTCCGAATTTGCGCGCGACGTTTGAGGAGCTCGATAATCGCGATTCTTACACGTTCGGAATCGAAGTTGTTCTTTTGCGCGACGATTCCACGAGATTACTGTCTTCCAGATTGTTACTGAAATGTCAATTTCTTAATTCTCGAATCATGCAAACCGTGGAGAAACGAAGCGTTAGTCGCGTCGCGGCGGAGTTTCGTCGCTGTCGGGAGAGCGACGACGTGCACATCTCAGGAACGTCACTCGATCTCTCTCGTTGAGATTGCGAAATCGGAGCGACGTTACGATGCGATGCACGAAGAGTTTTGCAACGACGTAGCCTGGAGCGCAATTAGGCAACGGAGAGCGAGTGAGTAAAATTTACGTCATTTATGATGCAGTAACGACAACTTCCCCGCGATGTTGTGATCGCAATGTCGAAGTTAATTCGGTAACACTGAGTCGTGAGAAAGATTCGATACGTTAATAATTACATTTTCTTCCGCATATACTCGTTTCAAGTGGCATAGTGTGTGCACAAAATGACAAACGAAAGAGAGCGAATTTACAATTCGGCAATGAGGTGACGCGCGAATTCGATCGAGAGCGAGAGACTGACATTTCTTTTACAAGAAAAAAAAAGGATTTATGCTGTAGCAACAAACTAATTTGCGAACAGTTGAACATAATTTGCTGCGTTAGCTACTTTTTCTTTGCAGAAACCTATTTCCTCACTATGATAAAGAAAATCTGCTTATACAGCAAGAAAAGTGCCTAACGCAGCAAATATATCCTTAAATATATCCTTAAATTTGCTACAGATGGACAACTAAACATAATTTACTGCTTTAGCTATTTTTTTTGCTGCAAGAGCAGATTTTCTTGTTATGAAAATCGTCGATCAATTTTCTTGGCAAGAAAATTGGTTCCTGCAGCAAAAAAAATGTGGCTAACACAGCAAATTATGTTTGGTATCGTTTTTTCCGTTAGAGATCCTTTAGTCCGAACAAGGAGACCACGACGTGAAATCTCTTGGCTAGGGTTAAGGTGATCGTGGTACTCACGTCGAAAGTATCGTTTCACGATCGGTCGCTCCGAGACAAAACTGAACGCGCGGCGACGGAGGTTGCTTTTATACCGCAGGTGCCGCGGCGGCCGAACGGTGAATGCCACTCCCATCCTCTTCGAGCGAGATTCGTTATTGTCTCGCGGCACAGGACGAGCATACGAGCCATCTATTCTCGTTACGTGCTTTAGCAAATGTTAAAAAAGAAAAAAAGAATCCCAAACAATCGTGTGACTAACGAGACGTGTGTAGACAGTACGAGAAGAGCAGCATAGAAAAGTAGCACATATTATACCGCGAGTCCGTTGTGAGGATACTCTTTTTTTATTTTCAATATTGGTTATCTCACACATACACACACATGCACATTCACGCATAATACTCGTATCTTATTAGCGTATTAAGCTTGTGCAATTCTGCGAAATTGTTACTTCACGCGTAAGAGATTAGTAAAGTTTCCTTCAAGATATTCGCCTCACGGAGAACAATAATTTTGCTCTTTTAGCAAAATCGTCGTTGCTACTGCATATTCGTAGTGACATAAAAAAAACTTAGTTGACGTCAAAAAAACTTAGTTGACGTCAAAAAAACTTAGTTGACATCAAAAAAACTTAGTTGATGTAACTAATTTTACAAATTACTTGTTATCAGAGTGGAAGAGATTTTGTTGCCAGGATAAAAAAAATTTGTTGAGTATATTTGTCCTAAGAATCACGTTAATTTGCTATTGATGCAAAATAATGTATCCTTAGCAAATTTATTTGCTATCGGAGCAAAACTGTAACTGTTTATATAAATCCACCATGGTTCTTATAGCAAAATAATTTATAGATTCAGCAAATTATATCCAGCGAATAGTGATTAGTACTCTTAGCAAATCTTTTTGCTGTCCATATAATAACGAAAAGATTTTGCTAGACCAGTAGAAAATTTGCCGGGCCAGCAAATTATTTTTCTCCGTGGCTAATATTCGCGCAAAAGCGAATATTAAAAGCTAATATTCGCGCAGATCCAGGCGAATTGAATCGCATCGGGGTGCGATAATCAACGAATGTAAAGTTTGACGACGCGAACCGTCGAGACATTTCACCTGGATGAGTTCCGGAGGAACGCGTCGCGCGCGACCTGCTGTGAATATCGGTGCCCCATTGACCAATATACGGCACAGACAAGATTCGCGGTGTATCGACGCGGATTTCACTTTTACGAATATAAACTTCTATCACGAATTTTGAAATGATCTCGCAACAGACGCGACCTTTCTCACTACTGAACAAGTACGGCGATATTTTGATCGAGCGAGTCATTATCATACGTATAATTTGCTCATAATTTTTAAGAGTAACATTTCTTCATGCTAGACTGATTGCCGATTACCAGGGGCGAATCGAGAATTATTTTCAGGCCCGCACGCAAAAAAATAACTTAGTAATATCAGCTAAACCGCAGTAGCTGATTCAAACTTAGTCAAAAGGCTAATCGTTTAGCTGTTAAGAATTGGCTATGACAGCTAAAATGTATTTGCTATGAAATGCAAATATATTAGGTAACATTAAAAATACACATTATTTCAAGTAGCTAAGAAAATGGTTATTCCTAAATTTCTTATCGTATGCATAAAATATTAAAGAAGTTTGCCGCACAGCTACAATCATTTGTTACAGTCATTTATTTCTAGTAGCTAATATTTCTCGCTGTAAGTTTAACAGTGAATAAATTTAGCTTTGGTAGTATCGATATTAGCTATCCCTATTTTAGTGACACATCTTATCTGCCACAGTTATTTTTTAGCTCTGGAAGCTAGTTTTTTTTTTGCGTGCGGTTCTCGCCGAATTCCCAATGTCGCTGTACATAATAATGAAATATGGAATTGTTCACTGAGATTCCCTCTCTGTCGGCTCCAAAATGTCTTTGCTTAACAGCAACTTTCCCACGGGTTTCTCGCAAATCTTTCCCTCCTTGAAAATAAATCGTCCACCGAGCACGGTCGCGACTACTCTCCCGAGGAGAACTTTTCCCTCGTAAGGTGATAGCTGCAGAATGAAATATTTCGTGAGACCGCGTGAGACGCCTCGCAATTTTCGTCGCCTTCATCATATTATAGTTAATCGGTAGCTTATCTACTCACTTTGTTCTTATAGTGAATGTTATCCTTCTCGATCTGCAGAAATAAGACGCTCTCTTATAACGGCACTTGTACCTCTGCATGGAGAATTTCTTTATCTCCCGCCTCGACGATGTAATGTACGCGCAACGGGACTCACCTTGATACTTTCATCCGGATCCCAAATAACGAAGTCCGCGTCCATTCCTACCGACAGAGTACCTTTGCGACCTTCGAGGCCGCACAATTTCGCGGGCTGACTACTGAGTAATCTGGAGATGTCAGGAAATGTCAGAGCTCTCGTTTTTGCGGCTGTCCACATCAGCGGTAATCCTGTTTATATTTTTAAAAAAATTAAGATTCGACTCTCACAATATTTTCATTTTGTATCTTCAATTTCTCGACAAGTCTGATTTTACGTCTTCACTTCGACATGGAGAAGATCGAGTAGATTACGAAATATATGCGTTAACTACGTTGACTGATAGATTTTCTAATGACTCAAAGAACAACATGCGTTGTGCCTTAAAAAGACTCGAAATATAAAATTTCTCAACGTCTTCAAATATTTTTTTGGGAAACTAGTGCTCCCCTTAATTGTAATATGCAAATAAAATTTTATTAATCTCGACACTTTCTGTTTTGAGATATAAACACGCACCAAATTGCAATGAAGAGATACCACCCCAGGCGCGCAGAAAATCGCCGCGAGTTTTCAGTTCCGGCACGCAGGGCGAATGATCCGACACGACCATGTCCAATGTTCCATTTTTTATACCGTGCCACAATCGCTCCTGAGTGCACACGTGCGAGATTTACAACTTGCTTTATTAAATATTATTTTTATTTACTGAATACTGAGACGCGCGAAAGAATTTGGTTTGTTGGCACAATACTAATCTATTTACTCGATTACTTTCGCTCCTGATCGGCGGGCAGCATTTGAACACGGTGGAACCTTCCGGTATCTCCTCCGCGGTGAGCACCAAATAGTGATAGCAGGTTTCCACGGTCAAAGGTGCGCCGCGAGCCTTGGCATCGTTTATTAACGTCAGGCATTCCGCGCTTGATAAATGCACGATGTGGCATCGAAAGCTTCGGGATTTTACATAACGCTTCATATAAATTCATATACAAAATGTTTCGTACATTTAATCATATGCGCAAACGTATCGTTAAGTGAAATCCGCGGACTTACTTATATCCTGTACACCAGTCGCAGATTAATTTGACGGCATCAAGCTCCATTCGGTCGGGCCGGAAACGCAGGAAAGTGTCATATGATCGTGGATCGTCTGAAAGTTCGCTAAGGGGGTGAACCGCGATGCTGTGTAATAAGAATGGACAAATAACCGGATTTGGTTCCCGGATTGGAGCCGCATTTTTCGTGAATTTATTCCACAAGAAACGCGGTTCCAAAAGACACAAATCCAGTATTTCTTCACCACAAGGAGCTGAAGCCGCATTTTTCATAAATTTTTATATCTCCAACATTTCCTGTGTAAATATTTCAATTCACTTCGTTAGGAAGAAGAGCTGTTGTACTTGCTTCTCTTCCTGATGAAATGAGCTGAAATGTTTATGAAACATTGCAAACAAATTCATAAGAAACATGGCTTCATCCCGGAAGTTAAATCTAGCATTCCTCCACTCCTTAAGAGCAAATTTAAGCAAAAAATCTACACGTACCGACCAGCCGATTTGTCTCTTCAGGCTCTCCGTATTCCGCGTGGAACTGCAAAAATACACATTCGCGACCAGTTGCGATATAAACGGAGTTGAACGCGAGAGGGTAACCGCGAGATAAGTACCGTTAACACGGATCTCGTGGGTAGTAATTCCGTCAAAGCCCTTCGCACGTCGTCCACCGAGACGTGTGGAAATTCGTCGATTCCGCTCGGACAGAGGAAGCATTTGAAACCGACCACACCTGCGTCCACCAACGATCGCAACTCGCGCTAGAAACGACAAGAGATACGAGGGACTGAATTAATCGAGAGACAGAAGTAGAATCGCGGAGACAGCACGTCGCAGGGTCTCTTCGTTCGCAATCTTATAGTGTATCATTTTCGCCCATCCGCAATCGAGCAGTTGCGCTCGATTCAATTGCCCGTTGCGGACGATGGAACATTTGAGACTATAGCATCGCGTAAACGCACCTTTGGCAAAGTGTCCGCAGAATATTTGAGACCTCTACTTTCGACCCGAGTCTAAAGTGCCGGATTAGTTCTGATAATGAGATACAGATTACATACGAATATTTGAGCTTTCAACGTAGAATATATATACATACATTCTATATTGAAAGCTGAAGTATTCATCTTTAAAGATCAATAAGAATAATAAGAACGTCCAGAGTTAGGTATTAATGTTATTGGTGTCCAGGTATTGATGTTTTTACTGCACTCAATGAAGTTTACACGGATTTTGTTTGGGCACAAAGAGTCCACCGCACCCGTGCTTAATTAACATTCACGAAACTGAAAATCGTAAAGATAGTGAAAAAATGAAAATAAAGCAAAACACAACGGATCAATAAAGTGACACAGCGAGACGCAGGATGTCCGTTCTCACCCCCATACCATATCACGTACGTGTTATTTGGCGTGTTTTTACCGTGTTGCAAGTCGCGTTGCAAGAGCGTAAGTGTTATTCTGAAAAATGTATGCAACGAGTGCTGTTGCGCGCAATACCGGGAGGGAAAGAGAGTGATTTCAGTTTTGAGAGACGAATATGTCGCTACGACGGAAACAACGAGCGACGATTCTTGGCACACTGTAATTTTACAAATCTGCTTACTGTTCGGGCCGCGGAGGGTCGGTGGGGTGGCTCGTATCTTTCGCGAAGCGCGCGTCATTTGCGTCGCAACCCTTGAGCAGAAAACGGGATATCATGCTGGTGCATGTAGTACGAGAGTACAACTTGAACAGGATATTTCTGTCGTGCTTGGGTCTCTGGCCGTTCCAGAGCAAACTGGCGAGGAACTGTTTGCCGATCTTTTGTCTCGTGCTCCAGATAAGTTACTATCCGTTCGAGGTGATGATACATATTCCGAGTGTGATTCTTGATCGTGCGGCTTGATCGTAGAACTCGACTCAAAGATGATTGATGTTGTGCTTAGATACTGATGTTTCATGATCATCGCGACGACGCGCAAATGGTCTTCGAAAGTTGCTACCAAATTGTCATTACGAGTGCTTTCCTCGTGAGACTGTGGAACGAAATGTGGAATCGCGACAAGGTAAGTCTTCCGAACGGTGATCCAATGGAATATGAAAATTGATATTCCGCTAAAGAAATGTTCTTCAAACAATTCGTCACCCCGTGTGTGTTCCTTTTCTTTCTTTCCTTCTTTCTGGAAAGCAAGATGCTCGTTGACATAATTATTGTTGTGACGTCAGTTTCAACGTATGTACGAAGCCATGGACGCGCACTGGGATGTGTTTACGAGCAACCTCGAGGTTCAGATTCTAAAGGAGTACTCGAACGTGTCGCGAAAGTTCACGTTCTTCTATTCGAGTGAGTAAATTTCGCGAGTGAGATCGAATCGCATAGCGAATAGAGATGTGTGAACTATTTGAATTCTAATCGAATCGAATCAAGTGAAATTCGATTCGATTCAAATTCGAATCCTTATGATTCGCATCCGAATAATTCGAACATTTCGAATCGAAAAGATTCAAATACGGATCGCGCACATTAGCATTAAGAACTATTAAAGACATCCAGCTTTACGGGAATTAACATGATTTGAAAAATTTGCTATATATTTTTAAGATTTTTTTCAAAAATATTAAAAGAAGACAATGGCTTCTAGATAAACTCTTACCGACAACTATCGAATTGATATGTGTCGTTGCGCAGCTTTCAAGGCTGGAACTGTATTCCATACACGTTTACCGACTATATATTATATATCTCTTACCTTAAAATGAATTGACATCACATGATCAATGTTATCTCTCTCTGTTAGTTACTGAAGTCACTATTTTTATGTTGAATTCAATGATTATGTTAATTCAATGATTATGTTAAAAATTCTTTTAACGATTCGATTCGATTTGGGTGAAATTTCATCGATTCGATTCGATTCGAATTCGAAATTAAAATCTGAGATTCGATTCGACATTAAAAATCTTTGATTCGCATATCTCTAATAGCGAATGATGGAACAAGGCGGCGGTGACGGATCATTGACCTGTCACGGTGAAATTTCAGTCATGATGTACTCGCTGATGTCGGTTTTCGTGATATTCCCGTTGACCCCGCTGTTCTTGGACATCGTGTTACCGCTCAACGAGTCGCGTCCGCGAGTCTTAGCGTTCGAAGTTGAGTTTCGCGTGGACACTGACGAGTATTTCACGCCAATTTGTTGCTACATCACCGCGATCACCGTCGTCGGCATAAGCATCATGGTAGGCGCGGACACGATGCACTTTACCTGCACCACTCACGCTTGCAGCCTCTTCTCGATCATAGGGTGAGTGCACGTTATGCGAGCGTAACGATACGTTATCCATATGCGTTTCGGAGAAACATCGTAAGAAGCAAATCATATCTCGTAGCGAGAAAATCGAAAACGTATTGGAACCAGACAAGAACGTGTGTGATTGCTGCGTTAATGTGGAACTCCATTGTCGGAAGGAATTGTCTAATGAGCGTGCGATATACGAGAGATATGTCAACTGTCTGAGAAAATATCAGCTCGCGTTAGAGTAAGTCGAATTTTTCCGAGTTTCTTTCAACTTGTGACTGATTACTATTATATATATGCACACATATATATACATACACATTGTGTCATGAAAATGTAAGATATTAAATCAATACAAACGACAAAATTGTCGCTTCTATCATTGTGATTCTTAGGTTTGTCGACATCTTGAATTCGACGCATCAAACGGTCGCGGTATTCTTCTTGTTTCTGATCGGTGCAACTCTAAGTCTGATTGGAGTTCGAGTAAGCATTAGCTAATTAATTATGTGCATTGGACAAATTACAGAGGCAAAAAGAATCATGTCGATAGCGGAGATGCATTTTTCAATGAACGCGTGAGATTTGGAGATAAAAAAATATGAAGTCCACTTCGTGTATTTTCAACTTTGTACGACTTTGACTTTGATTGACAACATCTACTGGCGTTCTTTGTGGCTTACTGTTGCTTTAATTCGGTGAAGCCGTTTCTATAATACGGATATATAATATCTTTTTATATATTATAGATCATCTATGTGTTAGACCAGATGGATGAGATGCTTAGATTTGCGTGCATAATTATGGGAGCGTTACTGCAACTGATGATCATGTGTTACTCCGGTCAGAAATTAATCGACGAAAGTCAGAATGTGTTTCACAGAGCGTAATAATAGCTTCATACTTTCAATTATATTTATTAGGGGCTTGCGAAAGTTCGTCGGACTGTTGGTAATCTTACTGGCTCAAAAGATGAATCATTTTATATGCGCGGAAGCAGATAATTATCAGATAATTACAGAAAGTAGAAGATAACTATGACAGATATTTTAATTAAACATGGCATGTATTGTTTCGTCATTATTAATCAAAGAAATAACTCTGACAAAGCTCTCGCGAGCACCCACTATCTACATGTATTTTATATAGCATCGGTGTATCTTTGTGAGTATCCACAAGAGTCGACTTTTCACTAACCAATCGATGACGAGTACATTCGACAATTGAGAGATCACGCGCGACGATCGATATTATTTATTCATTATTTTTCTATATTATTAGGACCTTAACTTAGTTTCCGCCCGCAAATGTTAGATGGCAATGCAAACAGTTCTAGTAGTCATTACTAACGAAACAGGTAGTTTGTGATTAATTTCGACATTTCTCGATAACATTCAGTCAGCATACACAATTATTTTCCTAAACAACAATTTCTTTTGCTTTGTGAAAAATGGAACGC